ACGCAGTGTGAGTTTCTCCTGCGCCGCCACTTCCCAGTGGGCGTAGCCCTTGAGACACGCCTCGCCGTCTCCACCTTTGTGCGATCTGCCTCCTTCCTGCGATCCTCTTCAACTATCACTAATTGCGATTCGGCCTCAGCACGTTGCGCTCTCAATTCGCCACACTCTGACTGTAGCCTGCGGATTACCTCCTCATCCGCCTGCCGTGCGAGCTGACACTGTTCCAACAACCGCGTCTGTCGCACGAGCTCCTCTGACAAAATCCGATTCTGGGCTTGCTCAGAAATTAGTGCTTCTGTGACCTTCACCTGCTCCTTGGTGAGCTCTTCCAGTTTCCCATCCCTCACCTTCTCGGAGTACTTGTAGAATTTCTGATTAAGTTTATACTGACCCCACAAGCATTCATGCTTCTCCTTCAATTCCCTCAACTCCTGGTCCACTCTAGCTAATAGCTTGCTGGTGTGGACTTTAGTGCGAGTCCGCCTGCGCACTAACTCGATGTAAGATCCCGGCTGAAGTGGGTCGGCGTATTTATCGACTTTGCGATCCAAGTACCTCAGCAACGGAATCACCTGCTCAGAGAGCGCCGCCGCCGGCGCTCCAACAATTTCCTCCTCCTCCTCCTCGGTGTCCCCTGCTCCTGACATTTCTTCGGTGGAGCCTCCGTCGTCATCATCCGAGTGGAGAATTTCAGTCGCCATTGATTGCGTCGGCGACTGACCCGAGTGGGGCTGCACGTCGTCGACGTGTGCTGCCTGCGAAGGCACGACTGCAGCCTCGCTGCTCTTCGCCAAAATGTCTAAGGCGGTAGGCGAATGTGCCCGTGCGGCATCCCCGCCGCTCGCTTGTTGGTCGTCTACCGTGTCCTCTCTGCCGCCGACGCCCGCCGCTTAAGGCGATCGAGCGGAGGGTGGCTGCGCGGGGTTTGATTGCGCATCGCGCATCGAAATTTCATCCCGCGGACAGTCACTCCGCTCCTCCGTCTGTTGCTGCTCCCTTGATCGGTCCGCGGGGGCTGTGCTTGGCCTGTGCGCAGGCGCAAATGCCGGCGCCTTGTCCGCCGCAAGCGTAGCGCCGCGGACGTCCATCGCCAAAGGCGACATGGCCGGGGGCCGCTCGCCCGATGTCCCTTGGCCCTGAGGCCCTACCGCCGAAGGCGCATCTACCGGCGGATTACCCGCCGATAGTGTGGCCTCCGCACACTCCCTGCTCGTATCTCCTCGGCTCGAAGGCCCTGGCGCCGAAGGCGCAAATTGCGGCGCGTGGTGCGCCGGAGGGTCTGGCCCCGAGGGCCGGTGTCTCGTAGGCGGCTCTTCCGCCGGCTCCTTCCCCTTCCTACGTTGGAACGGGGGTGATTCCTGCCTGTGCACAGGCGGCACGTGTGGAAGTGACCTGTGCACAGGCGAGCGCCTGTGCACAGGCGGACTGCTCCTTCCCACGCGTAAGCGTAGATCTACGTCCACTTGTGATCGTCTGTCCGCGGAGGCTCGTCCGTCCGCGGAGTCTCGTCTGTGCGCAAACGGAACACCTGTCCGCAACGCACGTGGTAACTCCGGAGGCCCTTGGCCCGTAGGCGGCCTCTCGCCCGTCGAGGCTGCAGCGTGGTCCGTTGCTCCTGCGGTCGTCCGCGCTTCCTCATGCTTCTCTGGCGACGCACTTCCTTTCTCCGTCGCAATCGTCGCCGTGTCCGCACTGTTGGCTGGTAACACCAGTCTGCGTGCCTTCTGCTTCGGCCGGCTGTATGACTCGTACAACGGCCGCGGTCGAATGGGAGCAGAGGGTTCTTGATGCTGCTCCTCTTCGGACTCTTCTCTCCATCGCCGCTTCCGCGGCACTCGTGCTGCAGGAGTGTTTCTCCCTTCGTCCCTCCGCCTTGATGGGGTAGAAGTCGGTGACTCCTCTGCATCAGTGTCGACCTCATTCTCCCGCACATACTTCCCGGGATGGTCGACGGACAACGGCGGAAAATGCTCAAGCTCCGCCGCTGTCAAACAATTCCGCTGTCGATAAAAATTGATGAGGAAAGGAGAGAGATGGTTTAGAGTCCCCCCCTTCTCCTCAAAAGCGTGCTGTCGCATCACCTTGTGCAGGATGCTCGCCCAGTGAATTGGAGTTCCCTCGATGACGCACTCCACAAAAGAGACCTGCCACAATGTGATGTAGCAGGCGCGGTGTGGCTGCAGTAATTGCATCAGCGCCGCGGACAGAGTCCGGCGAAATCGATCCTTGTAATCACGGGTCCTGTACCCATTCTTGGTAGACCTCCCGGTCTTGAACAGCTCCACAAATTGCGCCTCTTCCTGCTTGGCCACCTTGATGCTCTCACTGTCGAAGAGGAGATGCCCTGGCATGCCGGCACATCTTCCCAATGCCTGCGCCCAATCTTGGACTGTCCACCGATCAACATGCGGACGCAATCCGCGCGAGGGTGGTCCCTGTGGCTCTAGCCACTCGCGCACCATATCCGCACAGATGTAGTTCCATCCCCATAGCAAGAAATCGAGCTTTCTTGCTATTAAGCGCTCCTCGAAAGCGCGCAGCCCGTTCTGTGGTAGGCGAAGCGGCAGCATCCGCAATCTGCCCGGTCTCGTCATTGCGTTCCTGGAGTTCGCTCGCCCGCTCATTCTACTTCCGCACCGCTCGAGCTCCTTTCTCTCTCGGCAAACTCTAATCGCCCTCAATTCCAAATCACGCGCACTCACTTCTCCCTCAATCACCAAGAAATCCCCTGTGCGGCGACGTCGAGAATGTTTAGCAGCCAGCAGATGGACGCGCGCAGCGCGCACAAGAGATTGGAATCGCGAATTCAAGAATGGGACGCTCTCCGCCGCCCGGTCGAAGGTCATGGTCGGCTCTTGCTCGTGGAGGACGTCTCACTTGATGGCCACGCCGGCTCTACGCTGGAACGGTCTCCGCTCTCACGCGCGGCTTCACGCTCCGCCGTCGCCGATTAAACTCTCACGCTCGAATTGGCGGATTTGAACTCCGCGAGCGTATTACCCCGCGGACATGGGAGCGCAGCGCCGAAGGCGAGTTTTCCGCCTTGCGCGGTACACTTGTTCGTACCGCCCCTCGGCCAATCCCCTTCTGCCTCGACGCGTGTGTCCGCATGTCGGACAAAAGTTCAACTCCTGCCTGTGCGCAGGCAGACTCCTCGGCGGATTCTCCGCCGGCGCGGAACTTCATCCTCCTGTGCACAGGCGCTCGCCTGTGCGCAGGCGAATTCCGTCCGCGGCGTCGCGCTGGTGCGGAAGGCGTTGACCGTGGTCAGCCGTCTCCGTCCAGACTGTCCGTTCCTTGTCTCTTCGTCGGTGCTTCCGCCGCCGCAACTCCGTCCGTCCAAGAGCGCATCCACCCGTCCCGTCCGCATGGTCCGTACGGATTTGATTACTCTGGCGGCTCCTTGCTCGTCCGCGGCGCCGCGCTGGCGCAGAAGGCGCCGTACACTTTCTACCTCACAAGGCGCATTTCTAGGGCCCAAGGCGGATTTTCCGCCGACGCCGAAGCGCCTGTGCACAGGCGAACGCCTGTGCGTAGGCGGACTTCGCGCCTCCTCAAACCCTACTTCGCCTGTGCACAGGCGAACTTCCTTCGTCCGCGCATAGGACAAAACTTGATCCCCCTTCCGCGTAGGCGGAATTCCCGCCGGTGGCGAACTCCTTCCGCCGAAGGCGAACGTCTACGTATCTTCCAATAGTGATAACTCCCTAAGTCCTCATCCGTTCCAAGCGTTCTTGGACTCGTTGGAATCAGTGCGTCGAGCTCTTTCCAACGAGACCCTAACTCGGTCAAGGCGCCTGAGGGTTGACCTAATTATGAAGGATTTCCCTACCGCCGCGGACGCAACCTCCGAAGGCGGGTTTTGCGCCTTGCGCCGCAGGGATCCTAACTGCAGAGCTCGCAGGGAGGGTGGTGCCCATCCTTACTGCTGCACCCCAAATCCTAGATTCTACAAGATCCCTCGAGAATCCCCGTGATCTTCCGGATTCACTATGTTTTGATGTACCGAAGGCTATTTACAATGCTGCCAGGGTACAGTTTTTTTCCAAAAATGTTTTAATTTCCTCAAAATTACCAAAAGTGGGGTACCACACATATGTTCTTTTATCCCATTGATGTTTTATTCCTGTCTTCTCTTGAGACCTCAACTTACACCAGAAGGGAGTGTCTGCTCTAATTATCTCTTTCAATTCTTTTGCAAAGAATTTTCAAATATCGGAGACGGAGATGCCCGTCTGATCTGTTCTTTTACTTGTTAATCTCGCGCAGGAAGACGAAGAGATCCCCTGACGTAGCAAGCATGGTACAACATGCAAAGAAAATATTGACGACGAGAAAGCTGCCCGAACATGGCGGCTTCGCACGCGCTGTTTGTCATGTTTTGGGTTGGGATGCAACTGTTTGCAGTCCTTCTCAGAAAACTGCCATTAGTCGCGGTTGGCTTGCACCCCATGAACAATATGCACCAACTATGCAGCTAAACGGTGAACCGAATACCCACGATGTTTTTGTGCACCTTCAACATGCCTCGACAGGTCAACTCAGGGATAATGGTTCTGTAGATTGATGATGCATTTGAGGAGAGTTTAGACCTCCACGGCCCTTTCTCTGCTCTGAGCCCAGTCTTGGTCGTCGAGGGCTCTCGATCCGCTCGACCGCGTCATTTGCTTCTGATCGGAGCTGCGCACTGCAGGATCTCAGTCTGACACAAGGCCCGGTGAGCTCCACGAGCGGCATTCCAACTTTCTACGTGCAGATTGTGAACATGTGCGGAGCATGCGCCATGGCCGACATTCATGTGGCTTGCGGAGCCTGGGCCTCAGCGACTCCTGTCGATCCATCCGTCTTTATTCGCCTGGGATACAACGACTGCCTCGTCAACAATGGCCAACCGCTCAGTAGTCACGGCAGCGTATCGTTCCAGTACTCCAGTCCTGCCATGTATTTCATGAAACTGGAAAAAAGCTAAAACTCCCAACTGATAAAACTATATGTAATTTCGTCAGATCTAATATTGTCAATGACAAAAACATTGATGTGAAAACAAACAGCAAACAATTTATTTCATTGACGATGTCTTCTGTCAGTCGTCAGTCACGGTCCCTCGATTCTTGACTGACTGCGGACTGACCCCACGGTTTATTCCGTAAGTCGTCAATCACAGTCCCTCGATTCTTGACTGACCGTCAGTCGTCAGTCGAGTTCATGTCTTTCCTCAGTGACCCTAAACCTCAACCCTCTCGCCACTGCGCGCTCTCCCTCTCGCTCTCTCTGTCTCCGCCCTCCCTGTCTCTCCCCACTCTCTCTCTGTCTGGCCCTGCTGCTGCTCGCCTCCCCCTCCTCCTCTCATCTCGTTCCTGCCTCTCGTGTTTCTGCTCGTCGACCGACCAGAGTCATTTGCCGTCGGCGTGCTGCTGTCTTGCTGTCAAAGTCTCGCTGTCGTTGATGTTCACATCGTCCATGATTTTAATATCGCCGTCATCTATTGAGGAGAGCAGGTAGCCATTAGCCATGTGTCTCTTTTCAGCCTTGCCTCTGTTACAAACACCAATCTGTTCAGGAGCTCAGGGTCGTGAAAGACCAGCGTCAGAGAAGAGAGCTTCGCCAATGTGAGCTGGTCTCTGAACGGCACATCAAAATATCCTGCATGAGGTAAAGTTCTATAATTTGACATACTGCATGTCTTCGAACTGGTAAAATAAACAGATTTCACAAAAGTTTCTTCTCGGATCGGTAGATAGGTCTTACAAAGTTCTGTAAATTTTATATATACTGTTTTAAATATTCACAAAGCCCCTCTACTGAAACACGAAAGATTTCCAGACATGATGCATGGTGCAAATGATCACTTTTGATCATTTGCTTAAAAGACACATACATTACAGGAGACTCTGCAAAGATATGTCCTTACAGTAGAATCTTTGGATGCTCCAAGTATCACACCTGATCCAATGTTTATCCTCTACACTTTTTTTCTCTCTGCCATCTTCACTTGATGCATGGAGACGAAATTATTTCTCGATTTGCATCTGAAAGTTTCACACGGAGCTTCATTTAGCGAACGAGTTCCTGAAGAAACTGACCATTCCTTCATGATCTTCGCACCGCGTGGATTGTAGCACGCGATGTGGCTGGCCAAGGCTCCCTCGAACGTCGCCTTGCTGAAGCCATTTCTCACGGAGACCTTCGTGACGTCGACGATGAACTTGAGGTAGCCCAGATCCTTCCACCCGAAGGTGAGCGCCTTGTCCGTCTGATCGTCTCTTACCAAAAGCGTCAAGTCTTTCGGGGGTTCTATCGAGGAGGCAGTTCTGTGCACTGGCGTCGTCCCTCCTGCGTCTCGTCTGTTCACAATGTCTCTCCATAACGCTTCTTTAAAGTAGTCTTTAAGGCTGAAGAATTCCTTGATCGCGTCGTGATCCACGGCGACGTGGAGGGGAGTCCTCCCTCTGCCGTCTTCCAGATCGAACATGCGTTGGACCTCATCGGCGCGACCCAGCTGAAAAGCCTTCAACAGAAGCTTCTGCTTGCAATTTCTCACCATGTCCAGCAGTCGTGTTCCGCTCGCTGCAAGCGCACAAGGCGTGGAAGAGAAACAATTCCATCGGGAAAAAACTGACTCGTGGCTTTGCCGGAAGAGCGCAGTCACCGCGTGATGACTTTGGCCCAGGTCGCGTAAGACGGATGCCGTGATCTCTCCTAATCTATCCAGGCTTCGGGCCTTGAGTATAGGAGGGGAGGCCCGAGAGCTTCCGGGATTTTGTGTTGAAGTCCATGCGCATGCAAAGTCCATGTTTATTTATGAATTTCTTTATAAATGAAGAAATTCATTGCTGTTGCGGGCCTCATTGAAGTCCATGCGCAGGTACACAATCCACTGGATCACCTCTAACGTCTCCTTGTGGGTAGAAAGCCTATCAGTGGCACAGCTCTGGCCTGACATCCCCACTCTCATGGAGATTGGCACAACGGAAACATGGCCTCGTCAGTGCCACTGTCTCCTGCCACAATGCAAAAGCTGCCCCTGAACGGGCGCTCCTTGAGCTGGCACTGGATGGCAGTTCCTTTGATGAGGGAACCACTGCAAACATCTATGAAACCATCCGTCTGGAGGATGATGAGGTCTTTGCTGCCCACAACCAAACTCTGCACGAAAGCAATCACACCGTCTATCTCCACACCTTTGGCCAGCCGACCGTCCTCATCGGTAAACTTCACTGCAAAACCACCATTCTTCATAACCAGCGATAGATTTTGGTCCCGCCTCGCACTCAGATACTGCGTGATTGACCTGCTGACTCGAGAAATCTGGCGCCTGCGAAATGCGAACTGTCCCGTCCATGTGGTCCATCCGAAGGCCCAGCTCGAACACGTTGGCAGGGAATATTGATCCTCCCCAGTGCACCCCCCAGCACGTTGACCAAGCTGCTCATCAGCTGCCCCGTCCCTCTCGCCAAGCCCAGCACCGGCTGCCACCAACCGGTTGGTGGCAGCCAACGTGCCGTCAAAATCGAAAATCATGAACAGGTTGCCGATGTTCTCCTGAATCTTCTTCATGGTCCAGGGCTTCAGCTCGGATACTGACCATTCCTACTTCAACCATTCCGGGCACTATGAAGACTGCTTCAATTGGAGTAGGTATCCATTCCTCGCTGGTTCAGTCGGAGCCTTTCTGTCTTTGAATGATTGATCTATCAGTGAATTCAAACTGTCTTTCCGGGGCCAAATAGATAACAAGTGGAAAGTGGAAGGCTTCGTGGACTTCTGACTGACGAAAGGTCCACAAGCTTGAATCTAGTTCTCAGATAAGGCGATGCAGCTAATAATGACTCGGGTCCTTCCAAATTACCGTGTAAAACTGCCAAGTGACTGCAAAAAATAAAAACATTTCTCGCAGCCCGAACTGCATGGCAAGTGCTCTGTTCATTCAAATGGTTCAGCATCAAATCAAGAAGGATTTTTCAAAGAAGCGATCGTGATTGGCCAGCCTCAGAGCAAGATTCAGAAATGGAAGTCATGTCCAGGAAAATTGGCGCAGGAAAATCAATTGTGGGTTGCTTCATCAAAACTGTCCGACTACTATTGAAGATGGAAGGATGACCTGGGAGTGAGTCGGCTGCGTGTATTTGAATATCTGCTGGTAGAATTAGATTTTGCAACAGGCAAGAGGGTCATTCCTATATTCCTACTCAGATCCAGAAACTTACTGCGTCTGTTTTATATTTAATCTCGTTGGCGACTATATTCCTACTTATAATGTGCTAGAGTTTCATCATGTCTGAAGTTAAAGAGTCATTAAGTTATACTATGAACCCCCAGATTTTGTTTAGTAGGTACAAGGATGTATATGTGCCGGGTATGTATATTGTGCATAAGGAAGTCTTCACATATCATGAGAGTAAAATCACACAATATCATATACATCTGCCTATTGGTTTGATCATCATGGAGACAAATCATAGGATAAAGTTCTTACTATCAATTCTTAGGGTTTATGTTCTATCTCAAAGTTCTTATTATTAATTCTAAAAATCATTTCATTTTTTATTATATATATATCTCTTTATTATATCCTTAATCTATGTATCAATTATATTTTAGAAAATTTTAAATTTTTTGAAATTATAATTTTTTTTAAATGATATTTATAGTAGACAGATTTAAACACGAAAACATACTTCTATATATTTGAATAACAAGATATTCAAAATAAAATTTATAATTATAAATTTTTTTTAAAAATTATAAATAAATTTTTTATATATATCTATTATTTATGTTTGTTACAATATATAATATAATTAAAACAATGTGTGCATTGATCAATACGTTCATCATTGAACATATGTAACATTTTAACACAATGTTGTGAAATTTTTTTTATATATCTATATTGATATATTAATCTGTCGATTGTAAAATTTATAATTATATGTATATAAGTATTTTTTCAAAAGAGTTAATAATCATAATTTCCAAAAATATTTAAAAATAATTACTTGAAAATCTTTTTAATAAAAATATTTTTTATCGTAATTATTTGAGATATATAATATATTTTAGATTTAGAAAATTATTAGGAAAAAATATATAAAAATTTTTCTTGAATATTTAAACACATCAAATTTTTTTAAGCATTAGCTCAAGAAATAAAAAAGTTAAACAGAAAATAAAATAATGCCAATTTTTGAAGAAAACAAGAAATAAAATTTCCAAAATCTGAAAAAATTACAATTATATTTATAAAGATAATTGAAAATCTCTACATATGAAAAATGTCTTCTTGTGTGCTGTGAAAACTTGAGCTATATCATAAACATTTAATGCATATTAATAAAAAAAAATTTTATACAAACATATAATTTTTTATAAAATATTCATACACAAAAATTTGGAAATAAAAAAATTGAGTACACTAAATAAAATCTTGATAGAATTTTCATATTTATTTTAAATGTAAAAATAAATAATGTTATTTATGAAAAAGTTAAAAAAATAAAATTTTATAATTACTAAAAAACATTCCAAGATATTGAATTATTTGTATATGAATAACAAAACTGATTGCAATTCAATTTTTTTTAGAAATAAATATAATGGAAATTTTTTTTTGGAACATGAAATATTGAGGTTTATAATAATATTTTTTATACAAAATAATGAAATATTTTAAAATAAGATATATAAAATACTATATAAATTATATGAAGACTTAAAAATTTACAATACATAAGTTAGAGACATTAAAAAAATATATAATTTAAAAATAGACTGGAAAAAAAACTAATTTTGAATTTATTACTAAAAAAAATTAAAATAAAAAACATAAGTTTTTAAATAATATTTATTTAATACATAATTCCGAATCATTTCGAATATATTATTGAATATTTTAAATTTTTTACAATTTAAAAATTATGTTTTAAATCTTTTTTTTAATTTAAAAAGTTAATTCAAAATTGATTTTTACTTTTCAAAATAATATTTATTTTTTTTAATGTTTTTTTAATTCACGTTTTTTCATTAGGAGTTATACGGTTTTGATACTAGGCAAGTAAAACTCTAATTGGAGATGATGAGTGCATGACTTTGGAATAATGTTGTTTTACTTAGTTATATGTTATTATATGTTGGACTTTTCTATCTTTTGTAATATTTTCTTATCCATGTTACATAATTTTTAAGTTTTAGAGTAATCTATAAAAACTTTTATAAAATATATTGTATTAGATATATTTATAAAATATTCACAATACACACAAAAAATTATTCTAATAATCCACCATGAATGTTCTGCATGTGCAATTTCTACACACCAAAGGCACTCAATTGAAGTTATTTTAATATAGTTAATATACATTAAGATGCTAATCTTTCCATCATATGTAGATTATTCATTAATCTGATTTAATTAAAAAAATATTATCTTATAATTTTCATTCAAAAAATAGATTGTCAAATATATTTTTCAATATATTTGCAATTTTTTTTAAAAAATTGAAATTATTTTATTTTGGTTTTTTAAATTAACGTTATTTATAAGTATTTTCAAAACTTTCAAAAAACTTGTTTTTATTTCTTGAGATAATTTTGATGTGTTTAAATATTCCAGGAAATAAAAATTATTTTCTATTTTAAAAAATAATTTATAATTATACATTAAAAAATATTACATATTTTAAATATTTACACTAAAGGAATAATTTTTAAATAAATTTTTTTCTTCAAAAAAATATTGCTAAATATATTTATTTATTTATTTATAAAATTATGGTTGTTGATGTTTTTTAAAAATGCTATTATGCATATAAAATTTTAACAAAATAATAAAATAAATTCAGTTTTTCTTTTTGAAAAGATTATCAAATATTTTTTTATACATATTGATAGTTTTTTTATGAATTTAACATTATGGACTTAAACTAATATTCTTAAATTTTGATGTGTTGAATATCCAATGGAGAGTTCTATATATTTTTTCATAAATATTTCATTATTCTACATTAATTTATATATTACATTTCTCAAATGTTTTGTTCTTAAAATAATTTAAAATTTTTTTTTGTCATAAATACATTATTAAATATCTACACTTTTTGAAAATGTACGTTGTTGATTTTTTTTTCAAACATCTGTATTTTTATTTTTTTTTTAACTAATTACCTCATCTAAAATTAAATAAATATTTTTATATGTTTATTGTAATATATAAAAGCAAGAGCGCGCATATAATGTAAAGAGAGAGCTCGCTCGCTAAATTATATATATAAATTTTTTATATATTTCATATTTTTATCTCGCGAATATAATTTTTTTTAATATCTAATTTTATATTTTATATTTTTTGATTTAAAATTTGAAATTTTTGAAGTGTTAAATTTTATTCATAATTTGGTATATATTTTTTTTAAAAATAAAATTAATCTACATTAAATATGTATAATATACCTCAAATATTTATCATCTTTTTTTTTGAATATCTTACAATGTA